TGAATAATAAAAAATAAAAATTAATTGAAAAAATTACTTCACAGTTTATTTAACAAACACTACTCAACAACTTAAATCTATAATCCAACAGCTATACCAAACATATTAACAGTTTCTGCTTAAAGTCATAATTTATAATATATTAAGCTATAATATATAATCTGTTTTAACAGTTACACCAAACAGCAACAATAGGGTTTTATTTTGAATTTGTGAGTTTTGGAATTATGATTTAAGTATAAAAAATTTGTTTAGTTATGAATTTTGAAAAGAGTTTTGAATTGAGTTTGAAATGAATGATATGATATATGATATTCGATTAAAAAACTTACAACTTATAATTAAATACACAACCAAAATTATTTTTAAAGCTCATAAAAAATTTAAAAAAATTTCAAAAATATTTTTTATTTAAATATAAAAATAACAGAAAAAAACTGAACAATACTCCAATCAACCAACCAAATAACCGGCCGAACGTATGAGGGACGTTCAGATAAATAACCAGATAGACGTATTTTGCAAAGTAAGTAAAAAATTAATTTTTAAAAGCACTAGTCAAATACAACACTCAAAATAAGGGATGAGATTAAAATTCTAGAATTTTAGCAAAAATTCTAAACAGTAATGATTCAAACTCTCATAAAATATCACTTTCACAATTCTTATTCATTTGTGATTAATTTAAATAAAAATAATAATAATATAAATATATCATTGATTCACATTAGCTGTGGTTGTGGGGGGATCTCCAGAGGATCCCAAACATTTTCCGAACCTAAATTACGACACCAAGTAGGTAATTATTAGCCAAATCTATCTGACAAAGATTTTGTAGGAGAAAAGTCTCCGTTGGGGGAGAGCAGTTGGTCGAATCTTTTGGACTTTTACACCAAAATGGATGAGCCATTAAACCAGAGGGGAATTTCAAAAAAAATGGAGTGCAAAAATAATAATTTTCAAATGATAATAACGTAAGTTTTTATTGTATGAATTATTTATACTGTCATTATTTTAAAATTATTTTGTTTATACTTCATTTAAAAAAAAAAATCCTTTAACAAAAATATAAAAATAATTAATTAATTCTAACATATCAATAAGAGCACTATGACCGTGTTTGGGAAGGTGAGATTTTAATTAAAAAGTCATTACAAATTGTTATATCAATCTTTTTATTATTTTACATATCTTTTTGTAAATTGTTTAAAAATTAATTAAAATAGTAAATTTTCAAACGAGCCATAAGTAAATTTTTGAAATCGAACCCTTTAAATATATAATTAAAAAATGTTTAAATTATATATACTAGCAATGTATACATGCGATGCATGTGTAATTTTTTTTAAAAAAAATAATATAAAAATAATGAAAAATAGAAATACGTATATAGTATGTATTGTTCGAGTTGTAAGGATTTTCTTTATCAAATCTATAATCTTGGTTTCAAGATTTGTCATCCTCTTAGGCCTCGTTTGGGAACAGGCTAATTTAATAATTTTTTAGTTATTTGGCTAAAAAGATAGGTAAAAAAAATTTGTATGTTTGGGATGACTTTTTGACTAATTACGAAAAGATGTACAAAAAGTAGAGAGAAAAGAGAATTTTTGATTTTTTGGTATGAGTTGTTGACTTTTTGACTAATTTAATAACTTTTTGACTAATTAACTAAAAAAATAAATCCCCAAACAGGGCCTTAATATAATTTGGAATACACATGTATAAGGGCTTTCTTTGCGAAGCACATGATCTTAGTTTCAAAACTTGTCCTCCTCCACCATTTCAGAGCTTTACATATATTAGAGATTGGAATACACGTAATGCGTGTATAATTCAAATAAAGAAGAATAAAAATAAATAATAAAAAAGTTAATATTATAATATATGTGTTACTTAAGAATATTCTTAATGAAATCTAAGGTGATGTGTTCAAACTTTTTTATTTTTATTTTTTATCTCTGTGTAATTTTTTTATTTTAAAATAAAAAAAAATCTACCATGTGACATGAGAAGGCTTGAACAACCCTTCACACTTAATAATTGTATAGATACATAGATAATAGATCTTTTATTTTTGATTTTTATAGAGACAAACATCATACAATGAATATGTTAGGATTATTGGATAAATAAGTTTTTTTTACTGAGACGGAACTTGTAAGAAGCCCTACAAGTCCAGACAGAACTCTCCAATCCAGATATCGTGGGAGAAGCCAGACCCAAACTTGGAATCATGTTTGTTTAGTGTAACTCAAAACTCTTAGCCCTAATTTTTTTGGGTTAAGCATCGTTTTGAAGTGGTGGAGCTTCACAATGTTTTATACCCACATGCAAATGACATTTTGTGTGTGTGTGTGTGTGTGTGTGTGAGAGAGAGAGAGAGAGAGAAAGAGAGAGAGAGAGAGAGAGAGAGAAGATGTTGCCATTGTTTAGTTTTTGAAGTGTTAGGATGGTAATAGCTGACGGATTTCGTAAGAAAAAGCAGAAAACGAAATAAAAGCTGGTTTAGATAATTGAAGGAATAGATTTTGGATGCAAAGCTGAATTTCACAAGCGGCGCAATGGATTCCTTTAGCCAAAAGTAAATAAAAATCAATTGAAAAATCTAGAAATCTCCTAGATGTTGATTTGTGATTATGTATCAATTTTAAACAGAATATAACAATCCCAATCAAACAATCAAGACAAAGAGACACAACGATTTTAACGTGGAAAAACCACAATTGGACACCTCCAACTGTGATAAAAAAAACCACGGGCAACAACCACAAAA